GTGCATACCCGCAACGGTACCCGCCGCCACCAAACTCGCGACCGCCCTTCTCACCACATCAGGTAATAATCACACACATGACACACATGTTCTAACATTATACCACACACAGTGATGACTTACCCCAAGTTTGCATTTTCGAAACCTGTTCTAAAACATATTGTCTATCTCTGCATCTGGAAAAAGAATGGAAGGGATGACAATATGTTTTGTATAGATTTTTCTGTCCTTGAGAAAACAGCATATCACAACCTATATAGTGATTTAGTTACATCCTTTTATTGACTTTTTAAATACATGTTGGATTGCGATGCGTTGGCATCATTTAATTTAACTAATTTTGTTTATGTATCTGTTCAAAACTTTTTTTCAAGCTTTTTTTTTAATGTCTAAAGAGGAATCAGCTAGAATTTCTCTTCTATAATAACGAAGTATAGAATGCAGTTCAATGAGAGTTAGATGACAAGTAATTTCTCCAACTCGTGACACCTCCATTCATTGACGTTGCAGAAAAAAGCTACTTCAGTCCCGAGAGATGTAATGCTGCGTCAATTCTCATACAAACTAAGGAATTAATCCTCGATATTGATACGGTAGACATTCTTAAGCTATAGCTTGATTATTTTAAAACGCCAACTTTTCAACGTAATAAATGTTTCTCTAAAAGCAATGATAAAGTGAATTAAACGAATACATTTTTATACAAAGTAACAATAAAACGAATACATAGAAGTGCATCGCTCTCCTTTAATAGAAGTTGAAAATGACGCTCCGTCGTCGTATTACACGATTCATATTCAAGTCCGAAACTAGAGAGCCTCGAACGTTTCTCAGAATCGTCTCGAGCCGGCGGCGGCGCGGCGGAGCCTCGACCACTCACGTGAACATAAATGTTCTATCATACCCACATCCACAGCAAGGCAATTCGACCCTAAGTATTGCAGACATAGGTTATAAAATGGCCTGAGATAGTGAACGCTTCATGACGTAAGCCGTTCTGCGCGTTCGCTGACGTAAGCGTCGTTGTGCAACGCGGCCAGAGCTATACGTTCTCAAGCACTGCTCTTGGAACGGCTCTGTGTAGAAATCGTTTGTTAAGAAATGATCCGGCAATGCGCAAGGTCGTTTTGTAACCGCAGCCTACGAAAGATAACATATTATCTATCTTACCCACGTTTCTCAAGCTTTAACAATAAATAACGAAGAAATAAACTCCCGAAACGTCAACGAACGAAGCCTTTGAGACAATATTTCACCGTTAAAATGAATCACAAGGTATATAAAATAGCCGCCCTTGCGAACCTATTATGTTCCACAAAGCTACTCTTTGAAATCGACAATACAATAAATCAAGTATTTTGCCACCTCTAAAGTGTATATACATTGTCTTTTAAGATGCATTGAAACGTTTGGTGGTTAAACGTTAAAATTTAATCAATAGTTATCAATATGAATGCGTATTTTATAATTAACTAAGTAAAAAATTTAACCCTCCTAATGCAATAGAGTAGAAATATGTGTCACAAATCATCGTGCATTCCATAAAAACTATATTTCTAAAGGTTTTTCTTTATACCATACATAACGATATTATGGTAAATTGGCAAATGAATAAATATGAAAATGTGTGGGAAATACCGTGACCGATAGTCGTTGATATTTTTAGATTGCCGTCGACACTTTGTGTGTTTTTTATAATGACGCTTGACGCTGGTCATTAATTTTATGAGCGCTTCGGCTGCGATCATCTATTACATTGAATAATATGAATTAATTGATAACTAAGTTTTTCTTTTCAAACATTGAAATAAATAAAAAATAGTTGATAGGCTAACTCTGAGAGATGACGTAAGTTTGATTTAAAAATCTAAAATATTATAGATAAATGTTAGTAGACGAAAACTGTTCAGTGATCGCTATGGATCTACAAGTTGAACATTTTACGCATAACTGTAATGTTTATATTTCATTACAAAAGCACGCGTACAATAGAGGAAATGTGCTTGTCATGAAATCTATGAAAACAGACAAGAAGTATGCTTATATTACGTTTGAATTCTTACTTCAGCCCACACTATTGTAAGCATGCCAAAGCACAAAGGCGTGAAGCATGTGTTTAAGTTCAGCCGGCCATTGTAAATTGTTATTCAATAGCATAGTGTTACGTGTGAGGTCATAACACATGGATCTTAAATAGATGTTTTAGTTCACGAGGCGTCGCACGTCCTATGAATGTGTGTGTGTGTGTGTTGACGCGGATGCGGCACAGTAAGACTGGGAGCATGGGGTGTAGTCGAGAGATAGCTAGGTGCAATCCGGAGTGGGTATCGCGGCTCGGGGATACGGCCCGCATCCGGGTGCAATGAATGCGACGACAGTTTCAAGGACGCGCCTCAGGTGATGACGTACGCGCACCCCGCCGCCTTCCGACGCGCCCCACACCCGCGGCACCCGTGCCTGTTCCGGCGCCCACCTAATAATGCACGTCTGCGCCCCGTCTGCCTCGTCCGAACTCGTTGCAACCTTGAGTGCTCTCCGCCGCGCTTCCCCTCTCCTCTTCAACTAACTACATGAAAAACTAAATAAACTGAAATATCAGATGTCGTCAACGATTAAAGTGTCCATGCTGACGGTAGCGTCCTTAAGCAGTCACCCAAAATTCATAAGCACTGCTCAATCAATGTGCTATTTGTAATCCACTTCGTCGCTTAAAGTGCGTGCCAACTAATCGGCTGCGGCGGGTAGTTGTGTCGTGTAATTAGTGAGACAT